TTTATCTCTCAACCAAAATATTTTCAATATCCTTGCCTACCAGCCTCTGATAATGATTCCACTCTGTTTTATGAATGCAACTTATTTAGATTCCATATGAGATCATGTAGTATTTGTCTTTCTGTGCCTCCTTTCTTTTCACATAACATTATTTCCTTAAAGTTCATTCCTTTTGCTATTTTTCAAAGACTATACTTTCCTCTTTTGTAAATGTTGTTTTTGTTTGTTTGCATTTGTTGCAGTGTGGTGCATATAACCCAGGGCCTGATACAAGCTAGGCATGTATTCTACCACTGAGCTACATGCCCATCTCTGGATTTCCTTTCTTTTTCTCGGCTGCATAACATTCCATTGTATATATGCACCACATTTTTCTTTATTTTTAATTTTCATCAGTATGAAATATTTATACTCATAAGTTACAGTATTATAATTTGATATATGTATACTATATATAATAATCACATCAGGATAATTAACATTTTCATCTCCTTTAATATAATTACATTGTGTTAGGAACCTTCAAAATCTTCTCCTCTATTTATTGTAAATGTATAATTAATTGTTGTAGACCATATAGTTACCCTACAATGCTGTAGATCATTAGAACTACCTCCCTCCCTCTATATTTTGCTACTCATTCTATCCTACCTCCCCTGTATACTTTCTGTTCTCCAATGAAATATATTCATTAGAGAGTGAATATATTTTCCTTCCATGTATTCACCTTTTAGCCTCCCAAAATGAGGATATGTGTTATTTGCCTTTTGTGTCTGAATTACTTCACTTAACATAATGTCCTCTATTTCCATCCATGTTGATATATGTATATTCTGAATAATGATGCTGTGAACATGAGACACACTTAACTTGCTGAAATACTGATTTATTTCCTTTGGGTGAATTTCCAGAAGAGGGATTGCTGGGTCATGTGGTGATTTTATTCTTTTTTTTTGAGAAACATCCATTTAATTTTCCATAATGGCTGTCCCAGTTTACATTCCCATCAACAGTGTATAAAGGTTCCCTTTTCTTGACATCCTTACAACACTCATTCTCTTTTATTTTTGTTTTTTTTTTTTTGATAATAGTCCCGTGGACACGTTTGAGGTGATAATTTACAGTGACTCTAATTTCACTTATGATTAATGATTTTCAGTATTTCCTCCTATACTTCTTGGCTATTTGCCTCTCTTTTAAAAAGTGTTATGCAAGTTCTTTGACCATTTTCTTTTTGTCTTTTTGAGACAGAGTCTCGCTATGCAGTGATTGAGGCTAACCTTGAGCTCACTTTGTAGCCAAGGCTGATCTCAAATTTGTAATGATCTACCTGCCTCCCCCTCCCAAGTACTGGGATTACAGGCATGCACCACCACACCCCACTCTTTGCCCATTTTTAAATATGCTAGGTGACCTTTAATTGTGATATGTCAATCTCGCTGTACTAGTAAAACAGTTCTGAGTGTGTCTATTCTAAGTGTGTAGGCCAACAAACTGAGTAGATGTGGTTGGCAACAGCAAATAGCCTGGATGGAGAAAAAGAAGGGAAAGAAGAAGTCTCCTCGTTTTCAAGAGTTCCAGTCTTGAGTGGGTTTATCCTTTGCTGCTATCAAATTTGGGCAGTCATTGCTTTCTTGGTTTCCAGTTTATTCTGCCTTCCAGCACAGATTTGCACGAATGACTCTTCAAAGGGCTTCCAGCCCTTCAATCTAGGACTAGTATTGCACTTCTGGTCCCATTATTCTGTGGCTTCCATCTTGGGCTGAGAAGCTAATAAGTCCTCCACCTCTCCAGTGTGCAGATGGTCATTGTGGAATCTCCCTATTTTAACCCCACCCAATAAATCTCATTGCATAATATAGATAGATAGATGATAGGTGGATAGACAGACAGACAGACAGACAGACACAGATAGAGACCCTTCCCATTCCTCATGCATGGCCCAGGAAGTTTATATTTGTAATCCCATGGAAAAGTTATTGAAATTCTCGTGAGTTACTTTCAGTCTACCATTCCCAGGGAAATCCATGGCATAAATAAAAACACAATAATATATCCAAAGTGGTGAGGAGTCAAGGGGATCCTGAGTCTGGTTACAGTGGTGGCTAACCAGAACAAATGCCTTGACTCAAGACTGAGCCAGATTTTATTTATTCATGAAGAAGGAAGTAGATTGAGGATGAATGACTGTGAGAATGATGGAAAGTACATGAGTGTCATAAGCTGGGCTAGGCAGGAAGCCTGAAATCACCTCTGCAATATGCAAAGAGAAGGCTATTCAGAAAGAGTAATCTGCATAACACAACTAAGACAGTAATGTTTTGGGGTTAGTGCTTCAACTTTAATGTGTAATCTTTTATGCCCTGGAAAGTCATAGCCTCTTATCTCAAGGCTCAATCCAAGCCAACAGTATGGAGCATGGCACTCCATCCCACCTTGGCTCACACATGTTTTATTTGGGAGCTATGGTGGGGAGGGAAACACTGTCCTGTCATCTTTGCTTGAAAGACTACACATCAACACCTCCACTAGACTGATTTGCATTGCTTAAAGCCAATTAAAGGGATAAGGAAATTTTTTCCCAGTGTGTGGGTTTTCCTTTTACTCTGCTGGTGATTTCCTTGGATGTGCAAAAACTTTTCAGTAACATGAGATCCCAGTTGTTGATTCTTTGAAGTATTTCCCATGCAGTTTGATTTTTGTTCATGAACTCTCTGCCTACCCCTATAACTTCAAGATTTTTACCTACTTTCTCTTCCAGTAGACTTTGTGTTTCTGTTTTAATATTGAGATCTGTGATCCATTTTGACTTGAGTTTGGAGCATGGTGATAGACATGGATTTATTTTCAGTCTTTGGCTTGTGGAAAGCCAGTTTTTCCAGCACCATTTATTAAAGAGGCTATTGTTTTTCCAGTGAACTTGTTTGGCCCCTTTGTCAAAGATCAGGTGGCTGAGTGTGTTTGTGGTTGTGGCTGTTTCTTCCAGTCTGTTCCCTTGATCCTCAAGTCTGTTTTTTAGCCAGTACCATGTTGATTTTATGACAGTAGCTTTGTAGTATAATTTCAGGTGAGGGATTGTGATTCCACCTGACTTGTCCTTGTTTCCCAGGATTGCTTTTGCTATTCTGGGTCTCTTCTGGTTCCAGATGAATTTAAGGCATGTTTTCTCTAGATCTGTAAGGTATGCTAATGGTATTTTAATGGGAATTGCATTGAATCTGTGCAACAATTTTGGTAGTATGGCCATTTTCACAATGTTGATTCTTCCTATCCATGAGTGAGGAATATTTTTGCATTTACTGAAATCCTCTTTGATCTCTTTTTTCAGAGTACTGTAGTTTTCACTGAATAGATCTTTTACTTCTTTGGTTAGATTGATTCCTAACTATTTCAGCTGACTGTGCCTCACAGAAAAAGGACTTCTCTCTAGAATATATATAGAATTAAAAAACATCATCCCCCCACAAATTCAAAGACCCAATCCAAAAATGGGCATCTGAGATGAATACACACTTCACAGATAAAGAAATACAATTGGCAAGTAAATACATGAGATAATGTTCGACATCATTAGTCATTCAAGAAATGCAAATTAAAACAGCACAGATTCCATCTCACCTCAGTAAGAATGGCTATCATTAAGAAGTCAACCAATAACAAACGCTAGAGGGGCTGGGGAATTAGCTCAGTGGCACAGTGCCTGCCTGGCAAGTGCAAGGTTGTGAGTTCGATTCCTGGTACTGGAAGAAAAAAAAAAAAAAAACAAATGCTGGAGAGGCTGTGGAGGAAAAAGAACTCTTCTCCACTCCTGGTGGGAGTGTAGACTGGTACAAACACTGTGGAAATCACTTTGGAGATTTCTCAGTAAACTAGGACTAGAGGGCCCATTCAACTCAGCTAGTCCCCTTCTGGGTATTTTCCCAGAAGAATTGAAAACATCATATCACAGTGATATATGTACACCCATGTTTATAGCAGTGCAATTTGTAATAGCTAAATCATGGAAGCAACCCAGATGCCCATCCACTGAGGAAAGGATAAAAAGGTTGTGGTATTTTTATATAATGGAATATTACTCAGCTATAAAGAAAGATAAACTTGAGGCTTTTATAGGTAATGGACACAACTAGAGACCATACTCATAAGTGAAATAAATCAGACCTGCATGTGTAAACACTATTGTCTCACTAGTGTAAGAACCTGAATGTGAATAAAAATTAGGAGATATGATAGATAATGGGAAATGAAAGGAAACTGCTCAAAAGTAAAGAGCAACTGGGATGAGGGAAAAGAGAAAAGAAAGAAGGGGAAAATTATGTATATATGTATACACGGAATAGCTACATAGTTGTTCTGCTCATTTCTATTGCTTTATTGAAAGGAACAGTTAATATTTAATTGTTTGATCAATCTAATATGTCTGTATTTGTTTACCTGAGTAACCAGTTTGAAAATATCAATATGTAATACAACAACCATTGTTAATTTCCTATCACCTTATCTGAAATTCAGTATTGCTTGTATTGTGTTTGTGTTATGTTGTAAATGTATATGTGTTTCTTATTATGTTTTTGTTCTTTTATCTTTAAAAGAAAAAATGAAGGGATAAGGGAAAGTTTTAGCCAGCTCTGTACATGTCAATACATGGGAAATAGGGCCACATTTAGCTAAAATGAAAGTAATTGCTCTTTTTTCAAGGAGAGTCATCCAGGTGGCCCTCCACATGTACATATATTCAATTTTGTTCCTCTAGAGAATGGTAATTTATGTTATTTTCTTACTATTAAATTTTGCAAGTTCATTGCATATTTTGAATATTAAGTCTTTTTCAATTGTATAGTTTCCAAATAACTTCTTTCATTTTGTAGAATATATCTTCACTCTATTAAAATTGTGTCCCTTGCTGTGCAGAAGCTTTTTGGTTTAATGTAACTCCATTTGTCTGTGTTTGTTTCTGTTGCATGTGCTTTTGAGAACATATACAAATCTCTGCTTCCTAGACACCATGATTTGAGCAACTTACTTCCACTAAGACCTTCCACTATGCTCCCATTTCTGCCTTGGAGACAGATGACCATGGATGGAATCCACTGAAACTGTAAGCCAAAACAAACTTCTTTAAATTGCAGGTGCTGGATATTTTGTCTGAGTGATGGAAAAATGAATAATATAGAAAATTGATGTAAGGACTGAGGTCATTTTGATGACTGTATCTGATTTTGTGGTTTAGGAATCTCTGGACGTGGTTTTCGGGAGGAGTTTGGAAAGATTTGGAGATACCTGACAGAGAAGCTTTGAAATAGTATAAGCAGAGATTTTTGAGAGATGCTGGTTGAAGTTTAGAAGATCAGAATTCTAATAGGGATGAGGACAGTAAAAACCAGGCTTATGAGATTTCAAATGGGAAACAGGACTCTATTAGAAATTAGACTAGAGGAGATATGTATTTCATTCTAGCAAGTAATTTGCCTACATTTTGTCCATGACCCAAGACTTTATGTGGGGCTGCGTTTAAAGGTGGTAGATTAATATCCAGTGAAGGAAGATTCAATACAACCCAAAGTTCAAGCTTTGACATGGACACTGTGGACTGATTTTTAGCCATATTTTAAGAGAAAATCGGGAGCAAAGGGCACAGCAAAAGTAACTGAAAAATTTACAACTTGGCCAGAAAGAAAGCACATCAAAAATTGGAGTCAAGAGTGCATGATAACAGAAAATGATTGGCATTCAAAAAAATTAATGTAGTTTAGCATAAGACAAGAGGAAAAATGGCTTGAAGGTATCTAAGGAATTCATAAAACTCCACAAATCACAATTCAAAGGTAGCAGAAGTGGATACCATTCACTTAAGGAGAGACTTTCTGTGTCCCTTGCTGGAAAAGGGTGTCTTAGGGAATTGGTTCCCTGGGATCCATTAAAACATGATCAGCATACAGGCACTCAGAAATCACTGTGAGCATGGCCCAAGGATGCCCAGCTACTGCAAAAGGTGTTGACAAATATTGGCATCATCCGTGTGGCGCTGCTTTTACATGCATGCAGCATGTAAGAGTTATGGGGTCATGGAGACTTCCTTTCAGATTTCAAAAGACCTGTGAAACCAGTCAAGGACAGTACATAAAGCTGATAGAGTGAAGCTGAAGGTGCGCTGGAGATCCAGAAAATTGGAGAAGCCAGGAATGTGGAATATGTGCTGAAGAAAGCTGCAGGCAGTGAGCAGAACCAGCCCAAGAGAGAAGGCATGTGTACCACAACTGGCAAGGCCATGGAGGCAAGTCTGCTCTATAGAGCTAATATCTCACACAGCTTACTCAGGTACTCACCATGGAGCTAAAATATTTAATGTTTGCCCTGTGTAGTTTTATTCTTGCTTTGGTCCAATTTCTATCCCCCTATACTTTTTTTGTAATGAGAATGTTTACATTGTGATACTGTATTTTGGAAGTATTTACCTTTCTTTTTGATTTTTATAGAACCTCACAGCTAGTAATTCACTTTGAGTCTCATAAGAGGCTTTGGATTTACCTTTTCAGCAATGTTGGAAGTATTAAGACTTGGACAATTCTTAGACGTGGACTAAATGTATTTTACATAATAAGACTGTCACAAGTATTTTTGGGAGCCAGAGGAAGAATGTTATGGTTTGGCTCTACAATGTCCCCAAATTTCTCAAATGTTCAGAGGAGGGACCTGGTCAGAATTGGCAGGTCAATAGGGGATATGGGTTGAGCATCCTCCCTCTACCGGGCTCTTCTACCCTGCTGTTTCTGCCTCAGAGTCAGCCACTCATAGACAGAACCCCTAGAACTGTGAGCCAAAATAAGCCTCTCCTCCATTAAGTTCCAGCTGTCGGGTATTTTGTCCCAGTGATGGGACTATATAGATATAATTTTACTTTTTTCTTCTTTGTTTAGATGCCTTTTCCTTTCTTCTCCCTAATTGCTCTTGCTAGAATTTCCAATAAGATCTTAAAGTGTTGAAAGTAAGCATTTTTGTCTCATTGTTGATCTTAGGAGAAAAGCTTTCAACTTTACATTGCTGAGTATGTTGTTAGCTATGAAACTGTTGTGTATGGCCTCTAATATTTATAGAGAGTTTCTACTTATAAATTAGATGTTGAAACTTTTAACCACAAAAGAATATTAAAACTTGTCAAATAGTTTTTCAGCATATTCTGAGATGAATATAAATTTTTGTCCTTCATACTGTTAATGTGGTGTATATAGTTTATTGCTTTGCAAGTGCTGTACTATCCTTGCAACCGAGGATTAAAGCCACTCAGTCATGGTGAAATGATACTTTTAAAGTGCTTTTAGCTATATTAGTCACTTTCGTGTTGCTAAGACAAAAATACCTATCACTTGCACCTTAAATTAGGAGAGTTTATTTTGTCTCACTATTTCAGTAGATTTGGTCCGTGATTGACTGGCTCCAAGGCAGAACTATCAGAGACCAGCAGCAAGATGAAGAAAAGTTCTTCATCTCAAGGTGAACAGGACACAGAGAGAGGAGAGGAGAGCCAGGGAAGAGAATACACCTTTCAAAATCTAAACCCCATCAACTCATCCTTTCTTGACGAGGCCTCACCTTTGAATGTGAGACTTTTGAGAGACATTTTATATCTAAAATACAACATTTCACCCCTGGCCCCAAAAGACTCACACTAATCTCATTATGAGAAAAGCATTTAGTTGATCTCTTAAGAGTTGCCAAAGTCTGAACAGTTCCTGTACTGCTGGAAAGTCCATGTCCAAAATTTCCTCTGAGGTTCAAGGAAACCTCTTTGGTATAAGACTCTGAAAATGAAAATAAAGTTAAGTACTTTTAACATACAGTTACACAGGATAAACATTTCCATTCCTAAAGGGAAGAATAAGGCATACACAAAAATCATGCCAAAGCAAGACCAAAACTCAACATAGTAAACATATTCTCCAGGAAATATTGTGGAGAGGTTTGATCTTCAAAGGGCTTAGCATGCCCTATACTATGGCCTCACTAGTTGAAACACATGATCTGTCTCTTGGTCTGGCTCTGTTTACTGCTCGCAGCTTTCCTCAACATTCTTTCCATATGCCTGCCTCCTCCAGCTTCCTGGATCTCTATAGCACTCTCAGGTTCACTCTCACAGCTTCATGGACTAAATTCTCATAGCCTCTTGGTAGTAACTGTGATCTTGTTGCACAGTATTTTTGCATGGCCTTTCAAGCCTTCTTCCGAAATTTGGATGGCAGATTCAATGAACCATTAACTCTGACATTATTTGTGCCTGAAAAACCCACACCCCATGGATGACACCAGGGACAGCTTCCAGAACCCTATGGGCCATGGCTATAGCAACCTTTCAGTGCTTGGGTAGCACTTCTCTAGGTGGGATTTTTCCAGCAGAGGCCCTAAGGTCTCTCTTCTCAAATAAAAGATTTAGACTTTTGGACCCTTGAATTTGTGATGTTCAGGGTATTGGTGAATTCTGAAATTGCCTCAAGCCATTTTTATTTTTGTCCCTGCACAAAGTACTTGGCTTTTTTTAGTGCTAATCTTTTCAGCAATCATGCACTCCTTTGCCCCAAATTTGCAGATACTTTCTTTCTAGTAAAACTGCAAACTTTTCAAATCATTCAGTTCTATTTTTTGCTCATCCTTCTCCTGTAGATATGGTGAAAAGCAGGCAGCAATATCCATTCTACAATTTCTTATGTTGCCTTGACATTTATTCTAACATATTAAATGTTCTTCCACCTTTAAGTGAATGAAGTCTTTAGGACATCAGCAAAATGTGGACAAATCTTTTGCCAAAATCAAACTTACATGGTCTCTAATTCAATTTCCAATAGAATCTTCATTTCCTCCTGAAGCCTTAGGAGCCTTTCCTTTACATCCTTATTCCTTTCAACATTGTGACATTCTGAGCTCCAACCAGTGTCTCCTATTAAGCTCAGCTTACAGCATTCAAAATAAGGCTTCTCTACCTGACATCTCTAAACCTTTCAAACTCGTCCCACAAACCACTTCCAAAAGCTTCTGAAACATACAGTTAGGTACAATTACAGCAGCAACTTAACTCCTGGTAACAGTTTTCTATATTAATCAATTTTCCATTGGTGGGGCTAGAAACCTGACACCTACAACATAAAAGAGAGGTTTATTTTGGTACATAGTTTCTGTAGATTCAGTCCATGGTCATATGGCTCCAAGGCCAAAAGGGCCTGAAACATGTCATAGCAGAAGAAAGCTGATCACCACATGGTGTTCAGGACGTGGAGAGAAAAAGGAGGAACTGGGGATAAAAATATAACTTCCCAGTCACTCCTGAGTGATCTACTCCTTCCAACAAGACCCTACCTCTGAACATGAGAATTTCAGGCAACACAGTATCTTAGATCTAAAACACCACACAGTTTATCATGGTACAGTGTCCTTTTAACATGCTCTTGAATTCAATTTTCTAGTATATTATTGAAAGTTTTCTCATTTATGACCAGGATGTTGTCCTATAATTTTCTTATAGTGTTCTTTTCTGTTTTTTTGTATCATCATGTTGTAAAATGAATTTGAAACTGTTCTGTCCTGTTCAATTGTCTGGAAGATTTTGTGAAAGATAAATATTAATCCTTCTTTAAACGTTTTATAGATATCAAATGTGAAGCTATTAGATTCTGGTGCCATGTCAAGCACAGCTCTTGAGACTGCAGGAGGAGGTTGGTGGAGGATAAAGAAATGAAGACAAGAGTCAGAATGCAGAAGGCTGGTGTCAGGTGAAGCCCACTCTCCTATGGGAAAAAGGAACTGCCCAACAACTGCAGTGCATTTATTTATACAATCAGCAGAAGGTAGATGTCAGGTAAAACCCCTCTCCTGATAGGAGAAAGGACTGCCCAACAACTTCAATGAATTTACTTATACAATCAGCATAATAGTCTGTTTACAGAGAATTTAAGGAGAGCACAAGATCCAGTTCCCAATGTCTCCCCATTTTCTGTTTTGTAGTTGGAAGTGATGGGTGGTCAGTTGGAGTTGGAAGAGCTGTGTTTGGAGGACTCTGCAGAAGACCTTTCTTTTGGAAGGCTTTTCTTTTCTTCTCTTCCCCAAGAGTCCCCTGTGCAGTTTCTTCCAGTGAAGGCCTTCTTCATCTCAAACCCATTCCACTCTGAATGGACTTACTCATTTAGGCTAAAAATTCCCAGTCCAAGGATCTCAGGTTCCTGCATTCATCAGTTTAACCCTATACAGCCTATTAAACCATAACAGTAGTCAGTTATCAGTGTAGCTGGAAATTGATAGAAGGTTTCAATGAGTTACTTTTTATAGGTAGCATATTACTGCGGCATTGTTTTATACATCTTGTGGTTATATTTTTTTGCTGGATGTTCAAGACCAAGTTAAAGTGAGATGTGTATTAATTAAAATTAATCTGTTGCTGTCTATCAGTGTCAATTAAGTCTCGTCAGGATTTGCCTTGGAACCATGTACAGTACCTCTCAGTTCTTCTGTCAGTGTCAGCCATCTGGATGAGTCATGACCATTGCTTAACCAAGTTGCTTTCTGTGAAAGCTGGAGAGACTTTTCTCTTCTGGTGACTTTTCTTAAACACATTATACCACTGATCTCCTTTCTCTGTGGTCCAGCAGTCTCTTTGGTCAGGAGGTTGAGGACTCACTGAGTTAGAGGATATCACAGCAGAGGTTCTCTTATGTCCTGGGTCTTCACTGACCCCAGAGGGACAGGGCCAAAACATTGGCTTTCCTCCTAGCTCATCTGTCTTTCCAGTTTTTGGTCTCCAAACCTCAGTTTTTGAACATCTAGAAGAGAAGGTTAATGGCCTTACAATTTTTACCTGAACATCAAATACCTTGAAATACAAAGCATAGCCAGAGCACCATTATTTGCTACCAACCATGGATGTTCCAAAAGTTGAATCCCTGCAGAATGTTAGCAGACAACAGTTGTATAGTTTTACCCAAAAAATTGAGATCAAAAGCCATACAAAATATTTAGCATGGCAGTCATGGTGACATGTTTGTACACACTTAAATTTCCATTTTGACATAGAATAGCCTTTTTAGTCAGTTGTCTCTATATAGTACATAAGAAGCTCTCACTTAATTTGTTGTCCTTTAATGGGATGTCATTGAAGAGTATGACATTATCTGGACTGCTTAGTGTCTAGACATTTCTAAGTGTAGTGGCACATAAATAGCATACATATCACAAAAGTTTTTATTAAAAATATTATTATTGACTGGTGACCTCATATTGTCTTGATATGAACCTCCTATCACAAATACCTGGAGTACAAGAGAAAAGCAGATGTCTGAATCTGAAAGAAAATGTCTTTTACCATAAACAAACACAGTTTTACATTTTGGAAGACCTGTGGTTTCCAGAAGGTGTGAATATATTTAATACACCACGAGGTTAATAATAATCAATTGTTATAGCCACATAAAAACTTTTGTTTCTTAATTCAGTTTTGTACCAGAGCATCTTTAAATCAGGAAACCTTATTGTCTTATTTTGCAAAAAGTTAACCTTTTTATGATGACAAATGTAAACATATCACAGTAATTTTTTTTTTTTTTTTTTTTTTTTGGTTTTTCTCCGGTACCAGGAACCGAACTCACGACCTTGCGCTTGCCAGGCAGGCGCTTTTGCCGCTGAGCTAAATCCCCAGCCCCCACAGTAATATATTTTGAGCAATATTTTGGGGTGTCTCCCATAAGGCTGTGGAGATCATTGGGGCTTGCCATCAGTGAATAAGGACTGGATAATTATCTCCAGTCAGCTGCTTCCTTATTCATCAGTTAGAGTCCTATCCAACAGTTTCTCCTCACCCTGAGGGATTTTTGTTTACTTAACAAATATTTGATGCCTTATGAAAACCAGATCATAACACTTAGCACATTACTTTGGAACGATGAAAGCCTCTCAAATCATAATACATAAACAGTAACACACATGACATTTATACAACCAATTTTAACATAATTTTGACCAGCTGGCAACCTGGGTGGAAGTACGTTTAATTTTGATGGTATTTGTCTATATGCCAAATTAAATTACACACAAATGCTTCAAAAATCCAAGAATGCAAAAAGAAAGAAAACTTGTTGAGCTCAAATAAAACAGCTGTTTACAGACTAGACAGACAGACAAATACAGACAATCTTACACAATTAGAGGACACTCAAATATATTTTTGGTCAAATTGAATTATAATAACTCTTACAATTTTAGAAGTTTGTAATTATAGGCAGACTACTCCGAATTTTTTGTAGGTCAGTTAGCAAACATCTCTTACAAGAAGAATTTGGAAGGAACAAAAACCTTTTATCTCTAATTAATATTTTTTGTATTTTATTTTTTCTTAAGAATACTGGCAGCTTTTGTGTCCCTTTCCTTTATGTAGCTTCCAGCTCAGTTATCTCCATACACTCTGTTACATACTCAGACCTTCTTTTCTGCTGTGTTCTTTCTGTAAGACTTAATATAATTTGGATTAATATTATCACTTATGTAGATTCCCTTTGTTGTTGCCTTTGGTTTGTCATTTGCTGAGTCTGTGCCCTAACCACTTGCTCATGGGTTGTTATGATTATGCCTAAACAGTTCACAGACATCTGCCAATGCTGCAGCTATTTGTGATGTATAAGAAGTGACCCCATGTGCTTACAGAGAAAGGGTGGGCATTGGTGTGCTCTGGGCTGATTGATGCTCAGAAAAAGTTAGCTGTGGCTGTCCATTGGCTCCAAAACAAAGGTGCAGTTGTCACTAGGTGCCCTGTGCCAGGGCACACAGCCCACACACTGCTGCAGCTGACATAACACAAAGCAGGCCTTTGGGTTCCTCCCACCTCCCTTGTCCAGGCCTGGTTCCAGGCTGAGTGGAGCTCTTTGGTTCCTGCCTGGCTTGTGCCCACTGGCCCTGTTCCCTTTCCAGCCTGGGGTCTGTGAGAAGTGGTGAGAGGAGCAGGGTCTGTGAGAAGTGGTTTTTCCCTAGCCTTGCTCTAAACTGCTTTCTCACCTTCTCCCAAGTACATAAACTTATAATTCCTTCTTTTTGAAACCAAGGCTAGGTCTCATGAACAAACTCAAGAAATTTAGCAAGCTGTGCAGTCTTAATAGGCATCCCTCTAACCTTTAGGAAAAGTTTAAACATTTCTATATGCAACTGTCACTCTAGTGAGCTTGCTTTTGCATCATGTTTTACACCTGATAAAATCAATATATCTCCGTCTCTCTTTTTGTGTGCACAAACCAAAGTGTCCACTCAACTGCTATATGACGAGTTTCCTTGTCCTCTCAGTTGCTGTCTGGGGGCCAAGATGCTGCATCCAGTGCAGTAGTTGAGACTCCCGAGGGAGGACAGTGGAGGATAAAGAAATGAAGACAAGAGTCAGAATGCAGAAAGCTGAGGTCAAATAGAGCCCCCTCTCCTGATGGCAAAAAGGAACTGCTCAAAAACTGCAGTGCATTTACTTATACAATCAGCATATGAGGCTGTTTACATAGAATTTAAGGAGAGCACAAGATCTCACTCCCAGCATGCTCAATTTTTCTTTATTAGCATAGTTTTCATTACTGATGTGATTTATATCTAGGTGCTTCCCTAAAATTTCATGGGATCATAGGTAGAAACTTCAGAAGGTTATGGATAATGGGGCATTATAGCTTTCTTGCTGTAGGTTGTAGAGCCTGATTGGAAGAGGTGGGTCACTGTGGGTATGGTCTAGAAGGTCATAGCAGCCTTCCCAGCACCTCCCTTGACACACTGCTTCCTCCGCCATGCTGTGAGCAGGTCTCTGCCATACACCTCTGTCTTAGAGCCAGGTAACTATGGACTGGAACAGAAACCAAAATAAATCTTTCTCTCTTTCAGTTGTGTCAGGTATTTTGCCTCGGTGCTAAGAAAATGATAAGACAAATGCTACAATTTATTTGTTGTTTTTGACATCCAGGTTTTCTACTTTATGATTCACTTTTGTAGGTGGTATGTGTCTAGGAAATTACCATTTCTTCTAGGTTATACAATGTGCTGATGCATAGTTATTCCTAGTTTTCTCTGATGATCTTTTGTATTGCTGTGGTATCAGTTTTAATGACTCCTGTGCCATTACTCATTTTGTATGTCCTCTTTTTCTTAATTTAACTAAAGTTTTGCCAGTGTTACTTTTCAAGAACCAATTTGTTGACCTTTTCTACTTTTATAATCTCTGCTGTATTTCTGCTCTGATGTTTAATATTCACTTAATTTTACTGAATCTGAACTTACATTGCTGTTCTTTTTCTACTTCCTTAAATTGTAACATTAGGTTATTTTATTTTTATTTTATTTTTTTGTCTTTTTGAGACAGGGTCTCACTATGCAGTTCAGGCTGGCCTTGAGCTCACTTTGTAGCCCAGGCTGGTCTCAAACTTGTAACGATCCTCCTGCCTCAGCCTCCCGAGTGCTGGGATTACAGGCATGTACAACAATGCCCCGTACATGAAGTTATTTTAAATTTCCCTTCCTTCCTTTCTTTTTTCCTTCCTTCCTTCCTTGATTTCCTTCCAACCTTTTCACCTCCCATCCTTCTTCCTTCTCTCCCTACCTTTTTGATGTAGGCATTTTCACTGTAATCTGCCCTTGTGCAACAACTGCTTTGGTTGCGTCCCATAAATTTTGTGTTTCCATTTTTGTTTGACTCAATATATTTTCAAATTTTCCCTTTTATTTTTTTGTTGCAATATTAGTTTTTGAGGAGAATGTTCTTTAATTTTCACATATTCATAAAGTTTTTATTTCTAATTTTATACAATTGTAGTTGCAAAAGTTATAATTTAACCTTATTTAGTGTGTGAAGAGTTGTGTTTTAGCCTGATATATGATGTATTCTGGAGAATGTTTCACCTGTTCTTGCTGGGTGGAATGTTCTTAGGTATGTTTTTCAAGTCCATTTGGTTTATTTATTTTTAAATTTAGTGTATCTAACTTTTTTATTTTTTTTAATTTTTTGTCTTTTTGAGACAGGGTCTGACTATGCAGTTCAGGCTGGTCTTGAGCTCACTTTGTAGCCCAGGCTGGTCTTGAACTTGCAGTGATCCTCCCGTCTCAGCCTCTCGAGTGCTAGGACATTTGTTTTAAAGTGTAGTTTAAGTCCAATATTTCCCTATTGGCCTCATCTCTGCATGATAGTGAGTTATTGATGTTCCCCACCTTTGTTACATGGCAGTCTGTGTCTCCCTTCTGATTGATGAATATTTGCTCCAAATATTCAGATACTCTGATTTTGAGGGCATATATATTTATAATTATTATTTTTTGATTAATAGGCTACTTTATTGCTAGATAGTGGCTTTCCTTGGCTCAATTAAAATTTTTGACTTGCAATATATTTTACCTGATGTAACTACCTCTGTTCTCTTGTAGTTTGTATTTGCTTGGAATATTTCCCCATTCTTTCACCTATAGTCTATATGTGTTCTTAAAAGAGATGAATTTCCTGTAGGCATCATAGAGTTGAGTCCCATTTTTTATTAGTTCATTTTTCAGTAGATAATGATTACATTTATCATGGGGAGTTGTTACATGTATATCTTAATACATTTTTTTCATTCCCTACCTCCCTGCTCCTTCCAACTTTTGGTCCCCTTCCCATTTGCAAAACTTCTATTTTCATTTTTTTTCTTCAATTCTTTTTTCCTATTCCTTTTTTCTATCTTTCATCCCTCCTCCCTTTATCTCTGTAAAATAGATAAATAGGAAGTAGAGAGCTATTTCCTCGAATGGATAGGGGAGCAAGTTTCTCATTTAAAAATCTGTTCAGGCTTGCTGTCTTCTACTGGAGAATCTTATTTATCTTCAAAGGAATTTTTGATGAGTGAAAACTTACTAATTACACTTCGTTGACCTTTTTTGTAATTGTTTTATAGATCCTTACTCTTTTCTTCCTCTCTGATTTTTCTTTGTGATTAAATATATTTTGTTGTACTTTGCCTTGATTCCATACTTTGTATACCTTGTCTACCCAGAAAACT